CGCCTGCACCCGCAGCGCGCCTCCGACGCCAGGCCCTGCCAGCGTCCAGGCGCCTCGGAGCGAGGGGCGGGAGAAATTGATCAGACTCATCCAAGGGATTGGATTCGAAGTCCGGACCGGACAGAGTGTGGATGGGTCAAACCCATTATGGAGGAGTGGAGTCTGGTCTGGGTTGGGGCGCGAACTCAGCCAAAAAGGGGCACTTGGAAGTTAGGTGGACTCGTGCAGGGGCGTCAGGGATTTATCCACTCATCCATGGGAACATGATTAAAGGGGGCTGCTAGTTGGACAGGACCCTCAAATGCGTGGACTGAAGTGTGTGACAGGGGCTTCTAGGGTAACAGGATCTTGGGTAAGAGGTTGGACAGGAGTGGGAGGAGCCGGACAGGGCCCTGGAAACAAGGGATCAAATTAGTTACTGACGGGGGATGGTGCTGAGATGCATGGAGGTAAATGAATGCGTTCCAAGCCCCACGGCATAGAGGTGATGGATACCTGAGGGTAGAGTAGGGTGAGTACTTGCGGCTGATCTGACAAGAGCCCTGAGGGCATGGGACTAGAAGGACACCTCCCTCCCACACAAACACCTGGGTCCATATCCCGAATCCCTCCTTCCCTTCAATGAAGATGTTCAGGGCTATAGAGTCCTCAGCCCAGCATTCTTCCCTCCCCACCCAAGAGCCAGCTCTGTCCAGAGCAGAGACAGTGTGTATGAGTCAGAAAGCTGGCAAGAGGCTGGCATGAGGTTGAGGCTTACAGACCTGTTTACCCTCCCTCTGTGAAAGGAGGTGGTGAAGGAAGGCATCAGAAGCGGCACTGACCCAGACAAATACCACTTTTATTTCACAAACACTGGGAAGATGGTTTACAGGGGTGGTGGGACACAGGTGCAAAGCTGCACATAGTCATCAGCGGCCCACTCCCACACTGAGGATCCAGCCAGGCAGTGCCTCCAAGTTGACGCAGCGAGGAGTGAGTGTGGGGAGAGCCCTGAACACTAAGCCCCCTGAAAGCCTAAGGGGCACAACTCCAGCTGTCCCGGGAAAACCACAAATAAATAAGAGTGGGGCACGGCCCCACCCACACACATCATCTAGTCACCCATCTTCACTCGGGAAGTCTGCAAAAAAAAAAGAACAGGAAAAATCAGGCAGGGACAGAGAAATAAATTAGACAGTGACAAATGACAGATGAGACCTAGCAAACCCATGGCAGGATGGAGGGGCCACAAAACACGGATAACTGGACCAGGATGGACATGCTGTGACAAACACAGATGAACAGAGACAGACAACTACAGAGCTGGACTGCGTGACAGACAGACCGAAGCTGCATACCGACAGTGAGAGTCACCGAACGTCAACCCAGTCAGGCTCCCCCAGTCACACTCAGACCTTCAGGCTGCTCCTAAGCCACACTCACACATTTCCAAACAAACAAGATACACACACCTCAGATGTGCTGTCCTGCTGACAGCATAGATACCCACAGGCCATGAGAAAGTCACTCACACCAAGACAGACACAGACAAGATCCCAACCTGGTCTACACTACAAAGAAACAGAGAGACAGATACAATAACAGAACAGGAAAAGAGAGGCTAAGTGAAACATATATAGACACAATACAATAGACAAAAAAAGACAGTTGTCAGATACCAAGCTGGAAACAAATAAATGGAAGGCTTCAAAAGGGGAAAACCAGAAGATGGGAATGCAGTGTGGAAGCTGTTCAGGGGTTCTACGGTTACAGGTTGAAAAGGGTACACTGCGGCTCCTCCAGAAGGGTGAGGCTGGGTTGGGGACAAGGGCAGAGGCTCCCCAGGGGGATTCAGCACCTGAAGGATTGCAACGATGACCCCAAAGAGGCCGATGGCACTGCCAAAGATCTCCACGATGAGAATCTTTACAAAGAGACTGGGGTTCTGCGCGTCAGCCAGGGCGGCTCCACTGCCCACGATGCCCACACAGACTCCGCAGAAGAGGTTAGACAGGCCCACTGTGAGGCCAGCCCCAAACATGGAGTAGCCTGCGGGGATGGAAAGGGAGCACTGAGGTCAAGCCAGAAACAAGGAGAGATGAGGGCAAGAATCCAGCACAAACTAATGGGGCCAGCCACCACCCCAACTCTGCAGAACAGGCCAAAGTAGGTGGGGGACTATCAAAATGAGGAGTCTGAGCTGGAGGGTGCATGGGATGGGGAAGAAGCTGTGAAGCCCCAGCCTTTTGCCTCCACACACCCACCTACCTGCATGGTAGTTTCGATGGCCAATGGCCTTGGGGTCAGTAGCACTGAAAGGCTGAGGGAGGCAGAGAAGTAATCAGATACCACCCCATACTCCATCCCCCTCCCCACCATCACTAAGCAATATACTGAAATGGATGCCCACCCCACCCTGGTCCTCCATACCTCAGCCATGTTGCTAATGACAATTGCCATGATGATGCCATAGATGGCCACAGCCTCACAGAAGATGATGCTGGTAGTGGCAGTGGGGGATTGGAGGTAGGGGAGGAGAGGAAGAAAGAGATAAGAAACCAACCTTTCTCTCCAGATTCTTCAGCCACCTCTCCCTCACTGACACCCCATCCCATCAGGAGGCTGGTCAGGAGCACCATGTCAGGTCATATACACAGGCAGCTCCAAATGCAACTGGTTCTGACAACAGTCCAAGGGTCTTACACTTACCTGACTAGGTTCTTGGTCTTGATCCTGGGGGCCTTCACCCCTCCCCCAATGATGGAAGAGCCAGTAATATAGATGCCCCTAGAAAATGGATAAGAAACCAATGAGCAGAGCGCATATTTGTCATTGCTCCCAAGGTGACTAAGAACCCAATGACACCACCTGCTATGATTCAGTCCCTCACTCGGTCCCATGGCTCCAAAACTCACCATGCTGCCCCAACCACAGACAAGGAGATAGCGAGGCCAATGCCCAGGTTTGACCACATGAAGGGAGAAGTCTCCGTCAGGAACCTGGTGTGCGGATAGAAAGGAAGGCATTCAGCTCTGGTAGAGAAGTGAGCACAAAATCCACCCCCGTGTCCCCTCCAATCCCACCAGTTCTGCATGCTGAGACATAACATTTCCTATTTCCCAGCCAGCTGAGGGGTGGGGTGGGGTGGGGTGGGGTCGGGGGTTCAGATCAGAGAAGGCAGGTTGCAAAGACTCTCCTAGGGAAATCCTCTCCCTTACCATGCCACATCAAAGCGGAAACCCAAGTCAAAAATGGTGTAGCAGATTCCTGAAGCAGTAAGAAAAATGGGGTTAGGGGCTCCTCCCTGAAGAGAAGCTCCCTAACTTAGACAAGAAGTTGCTGACCAGCTGATGCACCACCTTCCCGAAGAGCTGCCTGAACCTAAGTCAAGGAGAGTCCGCAGGCGGGCCCCACGTGAAAGCACAGTTGTCTATACACATCCCTCAGCTCAGGCCTCCATTTTCTGCCACCCCCTCAGTAACGTATCTCCCTCTGTGACTGCACCTCCCAGATCGAGACCTCCCAAGGGCAGCTAGCTACCCGCAGACCAAAATACCCTGGAGGAGAGGAGGGACAAAGAGGTCTGGGAAGGCCTCACCAGATCCAGCCAGCCCAGTCTGAACCGCTGTTTACCCAACAAACTGTGGGTGGGGGAAGGCAAAAACGATCGGGAAAAGAGGAACTGGAGCAGCCGGCTCGTGACCCAGGCAGGCCGATCAGGAGCAAGAGACGGACCACAGCAGTGTGCCGGGGAAAGAGGCGGCAGAAACACTAGAGCTGCGCTCGCGGTCCCCATCGGCCCCCGCCGGCGCCCCGCCTCAAGCAGCTGGAGATCCAGGTCTCTTCTGTCGGGGCTAGAGCCCGGGACAGGCGCGCGGCAGGGCCCGGGGTAGCAGTACTCCCAAGACCCCACTTCCCCGCTGGGCTCCAGCTCGGCCCGGCGCCGGCCCCGCCCGCCAGGGCCCGGCCTCACCCACGACGACCATGCAGGCCCAGAAGGCCACGAAGACCCCAGAGTAGAGCAGCACTAGCCCCGTCATGGCGGCAAAGAGAGCGGGGCTCGGTTGGGGGGTCCGGAACTGAACCGCGTCCCTGCGTCCACCGTCAACCCCGCAGCCTGTTGGACCGCCCCGCAGCGTCACCTGACTCGCCCACGTGACGTACCAGAGCCACGTGACCCCACGCCGGGTCGCCGCAGGTCTGGTACTTGGCGACGCCGGAACTGCTGGCGCTGAGGATTGCGGTGGTTGTAGTCTCGCGCCCCTAGGGGCTCGGGTACCCTCCTTACGGAGTACCTCGCCCTCTCCCTGGTAGCCCGGCTCGCATCCCTCCACTCCCGCTCCTTCTCCTCTCTGCCCCGGCCCACCAGCTCTGCTTTCCACCCGAGCTTAGCCTCCAAGCCAGTGCTGATCCCGCGGGCCTCGTCCCTGGCCGGCCCGCCCAGCTCCGTGAGAGTGTCTGCTCCCTCCCTCCCTCACTGAGCTCTGCTGTTTCCTCTGCCTGAAGCACGCTTCTTTGTGCTCACTACAGGGCCTGGCCAACATCTGCTGGTCCTCAGATACCATTCTTCCAGGAAGCCTTCCTTCCGCAACCAGAGGCAGGGCACCTGCTCTGGGCTCCCCAGCCTCCCTGGAGATCTTTATGAAACTTCAGCGAGATGGTGTTACTCTCTTTAAAATGCCTCAGTGGCTCCCATTTCCCACGGAATAAAAGCCATATAGTCCTTATAATGGCCTTCTAGGCCTCTACTGATGCTGCTCCCCATGCCTCTTACCTGACCTCACCCCCTAATACTTCCCCACTAACTCCCTCCTCTGGCTGTTCTGGCCTCCCTGCTATTCCTTGTACCTACCAGTCATTATCCCACCGCATTGCACGTGCACTTGTTCCTACTGCTTTCCCTATTATTCATGTGGCTCACCTGTAACTTCTCTCTGTCTTTGCTTGTCTTCAAAAGGCCTTCCCTTCTGTCAACATGCATAGTCTAATTGTGACATATTTATACTACGGGTGAATGTTCAGCAATAAAAAGCAATGAACTACTGATAAACATAAAACATGGGGGGGGGCCTCTCTGACCATCCTGTTTAATATTGCAACCCCCTCTCTCTTACACTCCTTCCTAGCTTTATATTTCTCCATGGCACTCATCACCATTCAGCATACTAAGTGTTATGATTGTCTAGCTTGTCCCACCAAGAGAATGTAAGCACTGTTACAGGATCCCTGAGCTCACCGCTGGATTTCCAGTGCTTGGCACACAGTGGGTGCCCAATACATATTTGTAGAATACATGATTGGTACCCTTGTCCCAGTTATCACGGTTGAGTTTATAAATTGCCTCCACCAGCAGACTGGGCAATCCTTGAGTGCAGCAATCACATCTCCCTGTTCACTGGCTTCTTCAACACCCCGGATAATGCCAATAGGCCAAAATTCTCAGCAAATGCAGGGAATGACGTGAGTAGTTTTCTTCATCCCTCTGAACCTTTAGGGTCCAGCAACTCCATTTTGCTTGAAGCACCCACCATGCTAGTTCATGCCTGTGTGTTTAAGCATGGTGTATCCTTTGCCCAAATGTCCTTTTCACTCTATTTCTTCCGATAATTATTTTTTTTCTCAAAGAGATCCAGCTTGGGTAACACTCCCTCTGGTAAGTCTCTTCTGGGCTTCAGCTACCCTTGGGGACTTCCCTCCTCACAAATACTGCTTCACTGTGTGGTAATTGCCTGTTTAACTGCCTTTCTTCTAACTACACTGTGAGGACAGGAATCCAGTCAAATACAATTCAGATCTGGACCCACACGACCTGTGTAAGACCTGCAGCATTTGACAAATAAGAAGAAACAAGAAGAAAAATTACCTAGTTTATTCAAGTTTCTGTTCCCTGAGAAACAAACTGGAGTCAGGGTAGACCAGTATAGCCTGACAGAAATGTCAGGAAATGGCCTATATCTGTGCTGTCCTCTCATGTGGCTTTCTGAGCACTGAAATTTGACTAGTATAACTGAGAAACTGAGTTTTTAATCTTAGTTAATTCAAATTTATATTTGAACAGCCACATGTGGCTACTGTATTGAACAGCATAGGTATAGACTAGTGGTTCTCAATTTTGCACCCACAGGGGACATTTGTCAATGTCTAGAGACACTTTTGGTTATCATAACTGGGGAGGAGTATGCTACTGGCATCCAGTGGGCAGAAACCAGAGACGATGCTAAACATCCTACAATGCACAGGATAGCCCCTCACAGCAAACAATTATCTGGCCCAAAGTGTCAATAGTGCCAAGGTTAAGAGCCCTGGTCTAGACCATCTAGCACCTGCCTTTGACTGCACAGCAGGAACTGGGACTGGCCAGAGGTCCTGGACTGCTCCCAGGAGGATAGTTGGCCCAGAAGGCTTCAGGGAGGACCCAAAGCCATTTCCCCCCATCAGTCAAACAACAGGCATTTAGTAAGCCAATATCTGCCAAGCTGTGTACCTGTGCCAGTGCCACGAAAGGACAGGATAGAGTTGGATCCTATCCTAAGTGAGGGGCTGCCTCAGTGAGAGTCTCCTTCAAGGATCCTGGCAGAGGGGTGAGGTTGATGCAGGGAGCACTAAAGGTTTTAGCAGTGATTCTTAAGTCCACCTGTGACTCTGGTCCCACATGGTATCAGCTGCTTCCCTCATCCTCGTAGGCGATGGCAATTCCTCGTCTTCCACTCACAGCTCCTGTCACTGGCGTCTGACCCAAGCGGGGCTGTAGTCCCTGCCAGCTCCGAGAACTAAGAAACGAGGCTGCAGAGGTAGGGGGCTAAGGCTGAGTGCGCTGAATCTGGGGGAAGAGTTCAGAGGGGAGTGGGGATTTGCCACACTCACCTGCAGGGCTGCTCTCAGCCAGCTCCAGTTGGGGCCGCGGCGTTAGGGCTGAGCATCCAGGATCACTCGATGGCTTCCAGGCAGGTGGGGGTCGTAGGTCCCCAGTAATGAGTGACACATCTGGGGTGTCCCACAGCTCTGAGTCAGGTGGAGGGAGGGGCACATGGAAGGGAGAGCCTGGAAGGGAAGGTGGAAGAGGATCCATACTGGCCCCCTGACTCCATGCCCCAAGTGTTTTTAGCTTAAGCAGTGCCCCCACCACTCACCAGGTAATAAGTCTGCATAATGTGTGAGGTGGGGAGCCAGGCCTGGAGGTGGCCAGGCAGGGTTGCAGGCAGCCTCCAGCTCACACGGTGTCAATACAGGCCGGAAGAAGCTGCCAGAAGGCTGGGGGGCTAGGGCACCCAGAGGACAGGCCAACAGCACAAAGACATCCACCTCAGGGAAGTTGGCAAGCTTGGCAGGCGTGGGTCGTCCCAGGGCCAAAACATAGCTACGCTTGCCAGCAGCCTGCGTCAGGTTCCGCAAGTGTGCCAGTGCCTCACGGTGTTGGGCCACACCCAGTGTGCCCGCCAGCAGCCCCACCACACGGGCATCTCTAGCCCTCTCTACCAGATAGTGTCTACGTGCTCTGAGCCGCCCAGCCCGAGCACCTTCATCCCGAGTCTGCCCTGTTTCTGGGCAGCAGGAGAAGAAAGACTGCCCTGGTGCCCAGCCCAAGAGCAGCCGGCTCAGGTCTGGGTCATGGTCAGGGTCTGAAATGGACTCAGAGCCCCCAACATAGAAGGCACCATACTCTTCCAGACACCTCCCTGGAGCCAGGGGGAATTGGCGCCCAAAACGCTCCAGGAGTTCAGGATCTGGATTGAGGGAATCCACTGGCAGGGGAAAAGCCGGGCTGGAGACAACCAGATCTGAGTACCGTGGGCGCAGAAGAGTGGCCAAGGCCTCTGGAAGAAGGAAGTGGTGTCAGGGTTGGGGCCTGGTAAAGCAGGATCCCCCTCATCCCCAGGAGACTGAATGTGACCCAAAAGCGAAGAGTGGGGTCAAGCCCATATTGAGAGCTCCATGGGACTGTACTGAAATGGGGAAATGAAGGCACAGAGTGGCATGCACAGGCAAAACCCCTCACCCAGGGCATGGGCGCAGGCCGGCTCACTCAGCAGCACCACAGGAACTGTAGGGTCTGGGTTCTGGGCTTCAAAGGCCTTAGCACAGAGTTCCAAGGCCACAGAACGTTGACCAAGGACGAAGGCCACAGGCAGAGGGCGGGCAGGAGGGCTTAAGCAGGCAGGGCCAAAATGTACAAGGGCCTGAGCTCCAGCTTGCTCAGCACCCAGTACATCCACACAGCAGCTGCAAAGGAGATACCATTAGTGAGAGGGGTTCTCATCAGGAAAAGAGTTGCTGTCATCAATGGGACACGTGGTCAATGAAGAAAATGACATTATGAAAAGAAAACGCTGTCACTGAGAAAAGCTAGTAGCAGGAGAGGAGTCATCATAATGGAGAAATACAGCCATTGGGGCAGACGCTGTCATAGAGGGGAAACACCATGAGCCCCAGATCACTAAACCTACCCCACCCCCAATCCTTAAACTCAAGTTCACACCTGCCATAAGCCGTGTCCCCCAGAATGAACATCTTCGACCCCGTAGCCCTCTCCAGTCGTGCAGCCACGGCCCCAGCATCTCCCAACAGCTGGTCAGGGAACTGCAAGGCCACCTTTAAGCATAAAGCATGGAGTCAGATACGGCCTCTCCTGCACCGAGGGCCTCTTCAAGGAAAACCTGCCGGGACTCCCTACCTAACCCTCAAAGCGCCTTCCAGAGGAACACCTCCCCCAGACCCCATCCTCACAAAAATACCCCAAGATCCCAATCCTCTGGGCAACCATTCCCTCTGGAACCTGCCCTCACCCTTTGACACCCCAGGTTGCGGACAAATCCAACGACTCGCTCCAGCTCGTACACTCGGTCCAGGTCATCGAGAGGAGTGAGCAGCCCAGCTGCGCCCGCCTCTCGCTGCAGCGCCGCCTCGGCGGGGCTACTGAACGTAGATTCCATGAGGCCCAGCTTCTGTGGCGGGAAGCAGCGGGGATCTCCCTCGGTCAGCTTCAGGCCCCGCGTCCTCAAACGCAGTCCTCAAGGAGTCAGAGTCGCTTGGTAGGGGCAGGGGGCTGGGGGGTCATTCACTCCGCAGCCCTTGGGCCAGCCCCCAACCCTTTCAAATTCCCGTTTCTCAGCTACGCAGGGGTCTCAAGGGAGATTACTTCCGGGCGTTTGAGGCGGGGCGGATGGCAATTTTACCAATCTTAAACGGCAGGGCTCCCGCCCTCCAATCCTCGCCAAGCCGCCCACAGAGAACCAATGGCCTGCCTCAGAGCCCCAAGCCAGCCGGAAGTGCCTCAGAGGAAGGCGCGGAGCCTCATGGGTGTTGTAGTTCTCCTGGCTAGCCTTTCCAGATTCTGGTCTTCCGATTCAGCTCTCCGGGCCCTCAGAAACACCGACTCCCTGAAAATAACTACCAGTTTGAGCAGTTCCTATTCACCTACACTGTTAAGCACTTCCTGTGCACTCTAACATCTGGGAGATGGCGTTGCATAATTTTTAATTCAGGTGCCAAACTGCCTTCGTTCGAATATTGGGCTCTGCCATTTACTGAGACTCTTAAGAAAGTTAATGTCTTTAAGGCTGTTTCCCCATCTGCAGAACGGGGGTTGTAACAACAGTACTCTTAATAGGATTGCTGGGTCAAATTAATTTAGATATAAAACTTTATAAAGTAGTCTTCTGCGTAGCACATGTACAGAAAGAATTCGCTGTTATCCTCACAGCAGTCTATGTCAATCAGGCAAACACTGAGCACTTACTGTTTACCAGGTACTACATTCTGAGAGTTTAGTCTTTGGAGTAAGAATCGTCCCATTTTACAGATGAGGAAACTGAGGTTCAGAGGCTAAATGCCGAATAAGACACAGCAAGTCACTGGCATCATCAGTATCAAATCCAGGTCTGAGTTCAGAAGCTGTTATTTAGACCCCTCATTCTCCCAGGTTATGTGTGCTACATTTGGTCATGGCAGGGAGGAGAAAGACACCTGGGTGCCATGTCGTAGGAGAAGAGGACAAAAAGTACGTGAAACATCTCCATACACCCTAAGAGAAGTGACAAATCAAGAGTAAGGTGAGAATGGGACTGAGGAAGGGTAGGGGAAAGGGGACAGTGACCTCAGGGGATAACATGAAAGGGGGACTGATGCTGGCTGGTGTAAGAAGAGACTGAATGAGGATAAAGAATGGAGGGCACAGAATTTGTGCAGAGGCTGAGAAAAGAACAGGAAAAAGAGTGAGACAAACATGGGAATAAACTTCTCCTGTCACCTCCAAGGAGACTCAAGGCTCAGGGATGAGAATGAGCGCTGTCTTGCTCTTGAGATCTTAACTGAGGATAAGACTGGGGTGCCTGAGAGGCAGTCAGGGTGGAACTCTGATTGAGACAGAAAGAGGGAACCCTCCTAGAGGACAGCAGCAGCTGGCCAGGAGCTGTCCTTGGTCCTGACCAAGGCCTGACCATCTTGTGCTGGTCAGATACCATAGAGGTGGGGAGCTATGGGTTTGCAGACAACACTAGGGTCTGTCTTCCTCTTCCTCTGGGGGCCAAATGCCTCCTCCCCTCCACATGCTAAGCCCACCTTTTTATACCTCTCCTCAACCAAGTGCAATTTGGGTGCCTTTATAATTCCATACAAGAAACCCATCCTAGAACTCAAAACCACTCTCCATTTCTTCCCCCACAACTGGACCTAGCCCCACCTCACTTCCAGCCCAAGGCCCTAAGTCCTCTATCTAGGAAACCTCCTATTCCTTTCAGAAATGAAACTCCTCCATATAGCCTTTCCTCACTGGTCCCATTCTCCCAGCTTATGGACTAGATCAGCCTTTGTTCAGACAGAACAAGACAAGGCAGAATTAGGGGCCTAGTACTCACCATTGTTGATTAAATAAATGTAAGCGTGCATGAACATTAGGACTAGTTTAATGGGAGGGGTGGAACTGCTGACACTACCGCAGTCCCTACCAGCCCCAAGGGCAATGGCAGTATTCTGAATGGCTCAAACCTAGATGGCTTGGATACAGCACTGCCCCTTCCACCTAGGAGCTAGAGGTTGGCCCCACCACTCCCTACCAAGCCCTGGGTCCAAGCATTCTCCCATCCTTCCCCTAGGTCTTCTGAGGTCACCCAGTTAGGAGGCAGTGGCAGTGGAAAGGAAGCATTGACAACAGTGCAGTGAGGATTCAGGTTTACTCTTTGGGAATGGGGAGGGATGAGGAGGAGGTGTGGGTGGGACAAGGGTGCCCCTCAGTAGTCAGCTGTGTAATCTGTGCCATGTAGCCCCCGGCACAGCAGTGTGAACTCTTTCACCATCTCCTTCACCCGCCTCTTGTTTACTCGCTCCCTGAAGGAGAGAAGGGAGAGCAAGTTAGCACCAGCCACCCCTGCCTCCTCCTCTCCCCCAGACCTGAGCCCAGGCCTCGCCAGCTCTGCTTACCGAAGGATCTGTTGGCTAAAGGTGTCCTTCTGCTCGGGGCTGAGGCGGGCAGAGGGAAAACCAGGTGACTGCAGTGCCTCCTTGATCCACACACTCAGGAGGCTGAAGCAGTGTTTGTTCAGAGCAAACAGGATGTCGGCAAAGCAGTCCATGAGGCTGCGGGAGGCCTGGCCCCCAATGGCCTGAGGGAGATGGGTTCTCAGCACACTAGGGCCTCACCCCTTCTGCAGCAAGGGTGCCTAGCCACGCCCACCCACCCTTGGACATTTCCTCAGTCAAAGTGCGCATGACAGATGAGTGCTGCTTTTTGAGAGCCAGCTGATCCTCAAAGCAACTTAACAACAGAATCAGAGAGCTTAGGGAACCAAAAGCTCAAGCTTCCCAGGAGGGCAGCTGCCTCAGCAGTGAGGGCCTCCCCCCCACGTCAAGCCCCACTTGCTCCATCTCACCTCCAGCACTGCTATGAGCAGCATACGGCCATCCTCCTGTACCACCTTTCCCACAGGTTCTACTTCCCCACACCGAGGCAGCAGCTCTGTCTACAGAGGACGGAGAGGCTCGTCAGCCCCAGCTCTTTCCCCCGTCTCCCTGGAGACAAGACCCTGCACACCACACCTCTACCCTCTAGAATCCTGGCCAGTGTGGGCCGGGTACAAGGGTGGTGGGGAGTCAGGGGTCAGCATGGAACTCACAAAGAAGCCACAGGAGGCCTTGACAGTAGGTGCTTCGGGGAACTTGAGGGCCAGCACAGCTGTGGGAAAGGCAGAAGCAGATCAGATGGGGCCCAAGGATCCTCTCGAGGGGGCCCCAGGCCCACCTGCCCACCTGGCCCCACTTACCACACTGGAACACAGCTTTGACATCCAATCGTTCACACAGGAACAAATCTGGCTTCCGCTTCAGAGCCTGCAGGAGGTGGAGCTGGTAAGCCCAGCCCCAGCCAACTCCAACAACCATCCCCCCACTCACCTGCCACCCAGGCCCCAACTTCACATACCACAAGTAGAGGCTGCCAAAATCAGCCACCCAGCCATCTCTGGGGGACCCAGACCACTCCAGAGTTCAGTAGATCAGGAGGGGAGCAGCCAAGGGATGCTACATACATGTACGTGTACATGACCATGGCACAGGTATACATGGGAGAGACTGGGGGTCATAATGCAGAAAGCTTGGGTCCCAAGTAACCCAGAGAAAACACCTTCTCCCCAACCCTCCATCAGGGCTAGATCTCCTGCAGGCTCCAGGTTGCCAGCAGTGATTTCACTTTGATTCACAAAGGCCTTTGAGGCCCCTGGATCAGTTAACAGGGCAGCAGGAAGAAAAGATGGCAGCTGGATGTGGAGCCGGGTCGAACAGCCCCCCTCCCATGTCCCACCCACACTCCTCAGGCACTCTCCAGCTTAGAAAGAGGAAAAGGAGGGCAGGAGCCTGGGAGCCATGGCTCCACCTCTCAGGATCCCCTGTGTCCAGGCCCCTCTCATCCATACCCAGCCCAGGAGGCAGGGCTGCCATGTCGGAGGGAGTACAAGGGCAGAGAGCCCACCCCAAGTGGTACCAGGACATGACTGGCACATCGTCAGGTCACAGGAGATGCTCTGCGCAGCCCCCGCAGTCATCAAGCACTGCTGTTCCCCAGCAGCCCCCCAACACATACCACATCAACCCCTAACCGGCCAGCCCCTCACATACCTTCCACTCCCCCAAGTTCATTCATGTGCAAACAGCCCCACGTGCACCCTCATTTGAAATGTCCTACTTACCCTCAAACATACCTCTACCACATCCCTTATACACACCACTCTCCTACATTTGCAACACACCTTCGCTTCATGTTCACATCCCAATTCCCCCACATCCCCAGGCATGTCCACACACCCACACCCTCAAGCTACCCAGTTCTCCAGCATACATACTCTCCCAACGCACACATTCACAGATACACACTCAAACGCCCTCACCCCAAAGATACACCCTCACAGATACCCACATTGACGTCTATCCAGACCCAGAACACACTCCCCATTCCCCTGTCCTCCTGCGCCCCACCCGCCACTGGACCATAAGTTCCAAGAGAGTAAGAGCTGTGCCTGTTTTTGCTCAGCATTATATTCTCAGCGCCCAGCAGACTACCAACCACGTATTACACAGTCAAAAAGTATTTTTGTTTTTGAATGATTAAGCACAGAAATACATCCTCTGCCCAACCCACAGGACTCTCCAAGTCATAGGAACTCGCAAACACACAGGACCCTCATCACACTAACCCCACATTCCCACAGCCCAACACATGTATCTTCCAAAACATATAACCCATAATGCAGACATACTGCTGCAATATATACGATCTTCATAACACACACTCCCACAGCCCACTACAGACATGCCTCCAATACATATCAACATTCAAAATCCATCAAAGCCTAACGCACATCAACGTACAACATGCATCAATGCACGGGGCCACACTCCAACTACACATTTATCCCAACACCCACCACGATACACATGCTACTTAGAGCAGCTATGTGATATCCACTCCCTTCCCAAACTGAACTCAAAACATACAACTAAAGTCTAGCACACTTTAACACACACACCAAACATAAACACAACCTAACACTATCTCACAATGGAGCTAGCACCCCACCTCCCAGCAGCAGCACAACCTGTCCAACAGCCCAGCTCTTGGCTCCATCACAGCACATTCAGCTCAGCCCCTCCCTCGGAGCTCCTCCCAGCCTACCTCGGGGAGCAGGCAGGGGACACTGAGGCAGGCAGTTCCCGGCAGGAGCACGGGGACAATAAACCCCAGGCCCTTCAATTCCGCTCCAGCCCTTGAACTTCTCAGGCACCCCAGCTGCACAGGAGCTGCTGGGCACAGTTGCCACTCCCTCCCTTGGTGACCCCCCAGGCCAGCCCAGCTCCCTCCCCTTGGGATAAGCCTCTCCCTGGTCTCTGCAGAAGACTGAGCTACTTGAGGCAAAGGGGCACTAAAGGAGGATGTTGGGTTGTCAACTTCCACGGAAACAGATGAAGAAACTCTATTCAACTGAACAGAAAAAAAATTTGTCAACAGAAAGCTAAAAATAGGCTTAAATTGAATTTCAACATAAGAGAAAGAGAAAGAGAGAGAACAGAACGTGAATGAATAAAACTAAAACACACCTGTGCCAGGAGTTGCATAAATGAATCAACAATATCAGGATGATCCCTGGGCCCTAAAATATAATAAAGATGGAACTTAAGAAAAAATTATACAAACAGCAACTCAACCTCATATAGTTATGTGGGACTGAGAGCCTGCAGGGAGACAGCGTGGGGGCACATGAGCAGCAGGAAGCAAGATAAAGAAACAAAACATACAAAAACCATGAACTGGGAGAAGCCCAACAGAAAGAGACGGCAAAGTGAAGGACGGGCCTGCCCCAGCTCCCTCCCAACCGGCCTTCCGCCTACTCCCCACTCCTCAGGTCAGTCCCCAAGTGATCCTGCGGTGCCCGAGCAATGTGGCTCCCATGTGGCTGCAGAAACAGCCCCCACACTCTTGCTATGGCCTCTGGCACGCTGGGGTGGCCCTACACTGCTTCCTAGCACATACTGCCCCATCACTAGCCATCAAAGAGGGGGGCAGGGCTGGTGGGAGGCGATCCTTGGTACCTCCTTTGGAGGCCTGGCTGAAGGCCCTGGAAAGGCCAGGGTATCAGTGTCTGCGCAGGTGTCCCCTCACTTCCATGGCCTTAGGGCCCTTGGTCTAGCCAAGGAAAGGAATCTCTTGTGTTCTCTTAAATCTTCTTGGGTAGGGCAGTGCCCAGTATGCTATGGGGATGGCCAGGCAAGCCACTGGCAAGGCCTAGGGGAGGGAATTGCATCATGAGGCCAAAAATGAGAGCCCCACCCAGCAAAACCCCTCCACATGGACACAGACTCAGCAGAGAGCCAGGCTCAGGGCTGACGACCAGCTTCCACCATCTGGATGCACGAAGAAAGAAGGAAACCAGTCAGCGTGTCACCCCATGGTGTGGTGGGAAGGCAAATCCCGAGGAAGGGACAGCAAGACTGGGACAGCATAACAGATAAGGGGGCCATATGTCCTGCAAGACAACCAACAAGCCCAACAAACAGGATGTTGGGCACTATTCTGCCTCCAGTTCTGAGGAGTCCTGTGGCAAGGTGTGTGCCTGGAGCTCCTGCCTGGCTGCTCCACTCTCAGGAGGAGGTGCTGCAGGAACCTGTGCCTGAGACACCACTAAGGAGCTGTGTGATCTTGCGCAAGCCACAAACGCTCAGTTTTCCCGACTGTCAAGCAGATAATAATCTCTCCCCTGCTTCCTTCCCCCGGCGGTGAGGAGCCATTGATAAAGCCCATTCCTTTCACATCTGTGCCCCAAGTTAGTCAAGTCCTGGAAAGTGAGGCCCAATGTGTCCTATGCCTGGGCCCCACTGCAGACAGCAGGTCAGAAGTTCAGCAGCCACCCTGCTAGCGAGGAAGAAAGGCTCTGAGGGCAAGGAGCCCTCACTCTCCCTTCTTCAAAGGCATCTGATACCTATTCTATGCTGGTCTTGTTCTGAGGGACGCAGAGGGAAGAGACCCAAGCCTGCCCTTGAGGGGCTTAGTCTAGGGAGAGAGACAGACATGGACGCGGCTTACTGAGTGTGACTGGTGCTGTATCAGCAGTGCATGTACGATGCAGTTTCAGCACGGGGTCAGAAGCACCCAGTTCTGACTCACAGAAGCTTCTGAGGACTGATGCATGGGAAAGGTGTGGAGAAGTAAAAGTTCACCCAGTAAAGGGCACAGAGTAATCCAGGCAGAGAAGCACAGCACAGGGATCAAATGGGACACGGAGAGGGGAAAGTTGGTGTGGCTGAACTGTTGGAGCTGTGGGGATGCTGCCAGGGATGGAGGCTGAGAGGCGTGCCAGAGCCCCATCGTGTGGGTGGGAGCGGGATGATAACCCGAGGGCGATGGGGAACAACGCAAGGGCCTTAAGCCAGGGAGGGAAAATGCTCAGATATGTGTCTTACAAAAAACAGTACAGCCTCAGGGTGCAGAAAAGGAGAAGAGCAGATGTCAGGGAAACCAGTTAGAAGACTGCTGAGGCGATCCAGCTGACACCTTACACTGGAGCAGTGGCCGTGGAAGGTAGGGAGAAGTGGGCAGACTGAGGGACCATCAGAACTTGACCCCACCCAGATACCAGGACAAGGAGAGGTGGAGCTGAGATGACCACACCTGCATTTCTGGCTCAGGTTTCCCCACCACGCTGAACCTACCCCATGGCCCACTGGATCAGAGGCCAGCATCATGGGACGAGACACTGAGGACTTAAGCAGAGAGCACTCTAGCTCCAGCTGTGACCCCTGGTGAGCCTCAAACCTGTGACCACAAATCTAGGCAAGATTCATGAGGCTGACAGAGCAATGTAGTTTCTCTTCCAAGTGAGAAGCCTGGGTGAGGCAGCAGGGGAAGCCTGGAGCCCCCTCCACCCAACCTCTCTCAGACAGAGGCCACAGTGAACGGGGGCTGGGACCACAGCCAAAGGCTTTTGGCCTTAAAAGGAGTAAGTCTCAATGCAGGGAAAGGAACCAGCACTTCTGAGTACATTGTGTGAAATAACCCCAAGCCAGGGGCCTAAAAGACGTTACTTTAGTATCTATCACAATCCCATCAAGTATAGGAAATCTCTATTTCACAGATATGGAAACAAAGGCTCTGAAAAAGTAAGTGACTTGCCCAAGGTCACACAACTAGTTGGTGGTGATGAGCTTAGAATCTAGGTCTACCTGACTTCAAAGCCCATGCTCTTCCCACTTTTCATTATATCCCAAAGGAAATGGAGCCACCTTGGTGCCCCAAGTCCCTCAGAGCTTCCATCCCCACCTTCCCCCACATCCAAACTGGCCCTGACCCCAGCAGGCCAGTAGAAGACAGCATTCACTCTCTTGTCCACTTCAACCTAAGGTGTCAACTATTTGTAAGGTGACAACTGTGCTGTGCTTGATCCCGTTAGTTTCCCATCAAGTCCCAGGTGCAACTTGGGGGAGAGAGGAGAACAGAGTGGGCGGCTTTGGCTCCCCAGTTGGGGAAGCAGAGGCAGTGGCAGTGGCGGCAGCAGCAGAGACCCTGGTCAGGACCTACCTTGCTGGAAGAGAGTGAGTGTGACGGAGGTGACGAGCAGGAAGAGGGCCTCAATTGGGGGAAAGTGGGCAGGCTCATGAGCAAAGATGTGGACCAGCTACAACAAAGCAGGGAATACTGGTCAGCTGAGGCCCTGGCCCATTAGGACAGGTCAGCATCCCTGGAATGCAGGTGAGGACCCCTGCCAGAGCAGCCATCCACCTGACTCCACCCACCTACCCAATCCCTGGCCCGATCTCTGACTAGGATCACATCCCAAACACTTCTGCCCCAATCATAAGGCTCACCTGTCGAGTGAGGTCAAGAGCAGAGGCCTGAGGGATGGTGCTGTACATCCGACCCAGCATCTCACACAGCTGTGGCACCATGGGGGCAAAGTCGTCCAGCAGCGTCTTAACGGACTTCTCGAAGATAGCGCACACCGCCTGGGAGGAAAGCAAAGGGGCTCTAGAGGGTCAGCGGGTCACCACTGGCTGGAACGGAACCAAGGCCCCACACTGCAGAGGCCTAAGGGGCCTTACCACAGGCCTCGCCTGGCTCTGCAAACCAGGGAAGGGAAGCACATCTGACCCGCACCCTGGACAGGAGGAGGCTGAGAGGCACTTCCCAGAGGGACAGAGGATAGAACTTTGTAACTTAGCTCTTGCTGCTTACATCTCCACCACTTCCTCACAGGGAGCAACAACAGCAAGAAACTCTTGAATTGAAAAGAACCGAGGCAGGTCTGTGATGCTAAAATCAATCCCTGACTGTCACTCGGCCCCAACATCACTGTCCTTGGGTACCAGGAAGTTCTGAATGTCTTCCCCAAAGGTTTGTTTGTGTCCATTGGGCAGGATTCATCTCCTTTATTTCCCTCAGATCATCACAAGCTGAGATGGGGCAGCAACACTTTCCTTCTGCTCCACCTCTGAGCACAGTCACCATGGGGCAGAGGGCAAGGATCGAGGCTTACCTCCACAACCTGGGCATCATTCAGCCATTTGCTCAGCACCTTCTGGATAAGCTGGAAGACCTGCTGCAGTACCACGACCACCTGAAGACACAGGAAGAAATGAGGTGCCCCCACCTCCACTTTCACCCACCTGAGGAGCACTACTTGGCTGCTGAAAGTAGGCCAGGAGTTCAAACCCATTCCCCCAGACTGCAGGTTGAAGACTCAGTGCACGGGACCCTGGGGGAAGGAGTGCTTTGCTGAACCCCCATGAATGCAAGAAGATATACAGAATTCTAGTAATCATTTCAGAGAAAGCCTCAAACTGCAAAGTAGAGACATTATGAGTACTTCAGAAGATTATTAAAATTTTGTAACCTTTTAAAAGACTCACTCCCTATCCACTTCTGCTCAGCAAAAGGCCTACGGGCTAACTCCTGAAGAAGGAGAGATGCTGTCTCACCCAGATAATCTCAGGGTAGAGAGCCCCAAGGGATGCACAGATACAGGCAGCTTATAGGGGAGCAGAGAGCAGCCTGAGGTGCTGGGAGGTGAGGGTGGGCAGGATGATGACTACCTCCGAAGGAGAAGGGCTCCTTGGGAGGACAGTGGCTTCGCTTTGGTCTGGAGCCGAAAGGGTAACTGAAACTGGGGTCAGGAGTTGAGTAGAGGGGCCAGGGTATTGTGGCTTCCTTTTCTCCAGGGCGTACTTGGAACAATGACCAAAGCAGTCTCTCACATCTGTACAGAGCTTTACAGTAGGCAGAGTACTTTCAATCAAGACCACACCTGCTATCCAGCACAGTTCTATGAGATGAGTGTCAGATATCCTGATGTTCATAGTTCTGAATGGGAGGCTGAGGCTTGCCCCAGATCAAACAGCTTGTAAGTGGTCACTGCAGCCCCCCGTGCCGGAGCTTACCACAGCACTTATCACACTGCTCTGTCACAATCTGCTTATGTGTCTTTTCTCTAGACTGGGAACAACCTCAAGACAAGAACTATTACATGTGGAGCATGTAAGCATCCTCAGTGCCCACAGGGGACAGTGAATGCTGAAGTAGAAGGCCCCACAGAGTTGGGGGTTAAAAAGTGGCCCACATTACATCACTTAGGGGTCGAAGGATAATGTCAGAGTCCCCCATGGAGTGGAGGAAAACAGGATAATAACATCACCCTAGTTGGGCTGGGGACAATGACAACATCACCCACAGGGCTGATTGAGACAATGACATCACTCTCTACAGAGTGGGGAGCAATGATACTGTCATTTATGGGGTCAGAGGACCAAATGCATCACGCTCCATGGGGCTAGGGAAACAATGACAATTATTACTCGTAGAGTTGGGGGGTGACAATGACATTCTCACAGGGCTGGGGGGGGCAATGGCAATGACAACATCACCCACAGGGTTGGGTCCCTGCGGCACTGGCAGCTTCCGGAGCTCAGGGCCTTCGTGATCATCCTCATGATGACTGACGTCCAGTGTGGTGAAGAGGTTGGAGAGAAGCCCCAAGATGTGGACAATGGCCAGCTTGTTGGAGGGATTAGGCTATGGGGAGAAGTGAACCAAGCTCTGAATCTCCCACCCCCAGCTGGACCCCCTGGCCCCAGCCCTGACTGCCAGCTCCAACCCCACCCCTCAGCAGCCACAGCCCACACAGAGAAGCCCTAGAGTCCCACTGCTTTCCCCAGCCACACACACACGCACACGCACACCAGCTCACTCACTATCTCCTCTGCCAGCTTCTCCAGCTGTTGGATATATGGTGAGATGAGTGAGTGCAGGTTTTTAAGAATCTCCTCCACTTGCAGGGCTGACAGCAGGAAGCCCAGTGCCTGCATCAGCCACATGCACTGGCTCGTCTGTGGGGCAGAACATGGAGGGTCAGTCCTGGACATATCTGGTTGTGGGTGGGAAGAATGAACCTCTTGGGGAAGGTTCTAAGAACAGAGAATAAGGGACAAGAGGTGGGGGAACGGCAGAAGATGGGATTTCTATAGACCCCCACAATACCCCAAGAAGCCCCCTAGAAAATTCTTAGCTCACCTTATGGATCTGTTTCATCAGGACATCCTGGAGATAAAGAAAAGGAATATGGTATCAGTGCAGTACAGAGTGTGCCCTGAGGTCCAGCTGCACCAGGGCCCCACATACCTGGGAGACAGCCACAATGTTGGCAGCATAGGGCGGCAGGTCATACTTGCATTCTCGGCAGATCTTCTTGAGGGTGGACACGGAAGAGATGGAGAGCTCGGGATTGCCTAGGGCATGCAGTACAAGGGGCAGAACGCTGTTGATCATGACGGGGTGGTCGGCCAGCCATTCAGACAGGGCTCCTGGGGAAAGAAGGGAGAAGGGAGGACTTCAGAGGCAGGCCAGGCTGGCTTTGTACCACATCCTGGTGAGGCAGGCAGAGCTCCTGGCAGGGTTGAGTTGCAGCCCCAGTACAGAGCACTGCTCATTCAGAGGATGGAATGGGCAAACACACACTCGCATGCTCAAACATGAGCCTTACAGCTGAGAAGCAGGAAGGAGTTACTCAGGAGAGGCTCAGCGCTGCTGTTGCATCGACAGTGAACTAGCCTCACTGAAATGCAGCTCAGTACACTGTAGCAAGGACCCTTAGATGTGCCAGGATAGTCAGTTGTCTGCAAGGCTGATTGTGTGCGTGGGCCTGTATACCTCCCATTTTGGATCGGACCCAGCAGGCTGGCTGTGCCTGGGGATGGGTGCCTTGGCTCTGGGAATGTGCTCCTGGGTGTGTGCCAGGTCTCACCAATGGTGAACATGACAGTGTCCGCCAGCTGCACGTTGCTGATGCTGATCCGTGGGATGAGGCCAATGAGCCCGGGCACCACGTCAGAATAGTTGACATCGATGGTCTCTGCGATGGATTGGAAGCCATAGAGCAGGGCCTCTGTGTGCTGGGGAAAGAGGATGCTACTGGCTTGGCTGAGGAGGAGGGTGTGACAGGTCTGGGAGGGCTGAGGGATTCAGGCTTGGGAGGTACCTGCCAGGAGTAGGGCTCCTCTGAGCTGGTGAGCAAACGGCCCAGCTTGTCATAGAGGTTGCTGAGCAGCTCGGCCCCCAGCATCTCATAGACATACATGAGCGTGTCTGAGATGTCCACCCTGAGAAGCAGATGAAGGCCTTATACAGGGCCTGGATGCTTCCCCCAAGCCCAGGAGTCCACCCAGTACCCTCATGTGAAAGTACATAGAGAATAGACAGAGGAGGCCCAGGATTCAGGAAGCCTGGCCTTGGGCCCCTCCCCTCTTTGCCTTCATTATTTCAGGACTCCCTTTAGAGCCAGGATTGGCCTGCTACCGTCACCTGTAAATTCGGAACTGCTCCTTCTCATCTGAGGACCAGAATCCATATTCTTCATCAGAAGGGAATTGGGCCTTGTGCAGAAGCACATCCACCAGCTGGAAGTAGACCGGCCGGTACACCTGCTGGTACACAGCCTGCTTCTCTGCCTCGAAGGACAGAATGTCATCCTGAGAGAGCCAGGGAAGGGAGTTAGCCACAGAAGCCCATGATCCACCTTCATCCACCATGACCCAGTTCTACTGAAGGTCACATAGACACACCTGCAGTGTGTACCAGAAGGTGAGAGTCAGGGAGCTGGTAGTCTCATTGACAGGAAAGTGGCCAGGGATGCCCGTGCAGAACATGATCATGTTGACAAGGGCCAGGAAGCTCTGCCAGTGCTCCACCTGGTCCAGCAAGGCCCTGGAAGGGAGAAGACATAGTGAGGTCATTCTGCCTGCCCCACCTCTTAGAGGGCCCTGCTGTTCCAACCACAACTGCCCCTCTCCTCACCGGGAATGGTTCTCGCCCAGGGCCACAGCAATGCGACAGATGCCATGGGAAGTCTCCATATCCCCATTCTGCACTGCCTGTCGCAGTTGATCCTGCAGTCCCAGCACCAGTGGGATGAGTTTCAGGAGTGTGTTCACGTACCTGGAGGCATGAGGTGAGGAGACTCATCAGAACTGTCTGCTCATCCCCCACCAGTTTTGAGAGAAAGGCACAAGCTCCCTGTCTTCCATCAAAGCCCTGCTTCCCACATCAAATCCAAAGCAAAAAAAGAGGTGAGGGCCTACATGGCAGGTGTGATGCTGTCCAATTTGGGGAAAATTTTAGGTTAGAGACCTCCAGGAGAAGGTCAGTATTATGGGTTGACTTATGTCCTTCAATTGAACTTAGAGTTGATGCTGAAATGAGTTAAGACTTTTGGGGAGGTTGGGATGAGTGGATCTATTTTGCATGCGAGAAGCTCATAAATTTTGGAGGGCCAGAGAGCAGACTGTTATGAATTGAGCTCTGTTCCCTGCAAAAAGATAAGCTTAAGTCCTGACCTCCAGTATCACAGAATGTGACTTTATTTGGAAATAGGGTCATTGCAGATGAGGTCATAGAGTAAGGGGTATCCCTAATACAATATGACAAGTGTCCTTAAAAGGAGACATTCAGATGAAGACAGAGACCTGCAGGGAGAATGACCTGTGATGATAAAGGCAGAGGCTGGAATTATGCAGCTGCAAGCCAGGCGAACACCAAAGGTTGCCAGCAAACCACCAGAAGCTAGGAGGTGGCAAGGAAGGATCCCCTACAGGTTTCAAAGGATGCTGACACCTTAGTTTCAGACCTCTAGCCTCCACAACTGTGAGATAATAAATTTCCGTTTTGTGTGCCCATGTGTGGCACTTTATTATGGCAGCTCTAGGAATTGAATACATCAGTGTCAGTGGAGGCTGAACCAGGATGGATGACAGAAGAGGTAACCCAGGCTGAGGAGTCCTCTTAAAGACTTTAGAAGGCAGCAACAGCTCCCAAGAGCACCAGTCCCCACCTGCCACTCCACCCTCTACCACCGAATCCTAACTCCTAAGGACGCTGGTGGCAGTAGGAGGGGAGAGAAGATGATGAACTCAGAGGGAGCTTAGAGGCAAAACAGACAGGACTTGATGAAGGACTGGATACGAGGATGGGGAAGAGTCAAGGACAGCTCTCAGGTTACCAGCTAAACAACTAAGTATATGGTGGAGGTATTTTCTGAGACTTAGAGGGATGGGTAGAGGGAGACAGTAACAAATTCAGTGAGTGGCTAGAAGGTGGTTCAGTGCTAGGCATGTTGAATCAGAGGTACCTGGTGAGATATGCAGGTAGAAGTGTCCAGAGAGTTGGATATAAAACCCTTAGAGCAAGAGACACAGATGCAGGAGTCATCCACAAACAGCTATGGGAGTAAATGAGAAATGCCCAGGAAGAAAGTGTTGAATGAGAGAAAAGAAGAGGGTCCAGGTCAGAGCCCTGAAGCACAATGATCCCTAAAGAAGGAGCGGAGGAAGCAGAGTATACAAAGGAGACAGAGAAGGCTAGCCCCATCCCACTGGACCCCTTCCCAGAAGCCTGCTCTGTGGAGATGAGACTAAGTAGAGTAAGTGATGCTCTCAAGGGGGATCAGATGCTTGGGACCCCTCTGCTGTCAATCACAATGTCACCACAGCAATCTATGGAGGGGCAGGGGGTGCAGACTAAGAGTCCAGAAGGACTTCTATCTGGACTTGCCCTAAGCAGGTTGCTAGGCAGGTAACCTCCCTCATAACCTTAGTGGGAGGATGAAAAGGACAAGAGGCAGGAGGGATACAGCTCAGTGGTACAGCACATACTTAGTACGCACAAAGTCCTGGGTTCAATTCCCAGTACCTCCATTAAATAGATAAACCTAATTACCTCCCGCCTTCAAAAAATGAAAGGAAGAAAGAAGGGAAGGAAGGAAGGAAGAAAGAAAGAAAGAAAAACAAAAAGGACAAGAGGCAACCAGCCCAGGATGCTGGCCTTCTCCACATCCCCGTTCTTGAGGAACAAGATAGCAGGATACCCGCAGTCCAGAGACAGCTCCAGAGAGGTGCTGCCTGGAGACAGCTGGGATAGCTTCAGTCTCATGACCCTGACACGGGCTGCACCACAAGACAATGGGCACCTTCAGGCCAGACTCTGGCACAAAGAGTAGGGGCAGGGCCAAGGCCATGGCCTGAGAACTCCCCAACAGCTGAGATAGGGGCAGGAAGTAGTGTCCTTACCCCCACAGCATCCCCACTGTATTCCAAAGCTCCCTCATGCCTTCAAAATTCATGCACACATTAGGTACTCAAGGAAAGTTCTTAATTTGTCTCAACTGAGGCTCATAATAGGATACACGAAGAACAATGTAGCCAGTAGAGCTCCCAGTATTACTCAAGGTCATAGTGCAAGTTAGACACAGATCCCAAGCTGAGACACCTCCTTATACAGCTATAGGTCTGCTTCTGTTTCAGGACCCAACTTGAACTACCTCAAAGGATCTACGCAGCTCTTAGCCCATATCTAAAGTTCTAATTGAGGGGAGCCCCCCAAGAGCCTGTATAACTCACCTTTTTTCCTTCCATGGCCCCCAGTGAAAAGCTTTTCCAGGATTAAAAATAAATCTCAGGAAAAAAAATTTCAAAGGAGAGAGAGCCAGGCAAGCAGAAGCTGCTGTGGAGGGGTGGGAGAAGGGTGACTTGAGTGTAAGTTCAGCCAAGGAGAGGGCCAATGTCTAGTACACCTGGGGAGGTAGTGGCTGGATGACCCAGGAGTCAGAGCCACTGAAGGTAACTTTCCCAAGCCAAAGCCAGGAAACAGACAAGACAGAGCAAGGCCCAAATGCTGACTCGCTGACTCGGGCTGGGTGCAGCCCACCCACGGGGGAAACTCCTGCGTAGATTTCCTACCACCTGGGCACCTGTGCCTGAGACATGTGAGCAGACAGGAGAACAGGCCTGAGAACCCCCAGAGGCATCTAGGTTTGGGGGAGGGAGATAGAAAGGATGTCTTTAAGTACCATGGCTGAGACTTGGTTCAAGAGGCCTGGCTCCTGTTGGTCAGCTCGAGCTGCCGGGGCAGGGCTGCTAGGACTCCTTGGCTGCCACTCACACTGAGCTCAGCCTAGACCTGCAATTAGAGCTCTGGGAGCAGAGCTGAGAAAATGGGGAGAGTTGCTAAGCAACCAAGGGGGCTGCAGCCAATGGGCGCTCAGGAGGCTATAGGTTCCCTCACTGGCTCCTTGCTCGCTCATTCGTTCAGAGAAGAGGCATCAATTACCTGCCAGAGCCCTCAAGACTGGCTAGGCAGGTAAATCTGAGTGTATCCAAGGACACTCTACATCACCCATGCACTGGCCCTGCCAATTCCCCTTAGCCACCAACTGTCCAAGCCCAGCCTGCACCGGAGATTCACACTGCCAAGAAAGGACTTGACCTGGGACTTGGTACTCACCTTAAGTTGGTAAACCTGGGAAATCATGGGAAAGGGCTCATACTAACTGCCAATGCGATAACGATACCAAATGCAAGCAATTGCCATTTATGGATTGTCCAGGAACCATGCTAAACCTTTCACAAATATCCTCTTATTTAATCCTCATACCAAAATATTCTCCACAGCATATGAGGGGCAGGCCCTGGGCACATGATCCTATTTAAACTCTGTGAGGTAATATGATCAACCTATTTCACTGATGATAAAAACTGAGGCTTAAAAGTGGCCTACCCAAGGTCTCAGATCTAGTAAGTGGACCATCTGGGATTCAGACTCAAATGTGACTAATGCCAAGGCTAGAGCCATTAACCACTTCCCCGTGCCGTCTCATTCAGTGGCATTTTCCCTCTCATTCTGCCAAGCATTCCCAAAGCCTTTTCTCTGAAATGTTAGGTGTAAGGCCTCCAGTCTTGCCCTGGCCAATCCAATTTACACTAAAAATCTCATGATGCTATTTTCACTGCTTAAAATCCTTTGATATCTTTACATTAGGATAAAGACCAAAATCTTAAGCCTGGCTGACAAGGTCTTGCATGTTCTGGGCCTGGCTCTCCCACCACTGGCCTTACACCCTGCTGCCTAATCACACTCACTTACCAGGATCCCTCACACCCTTCCCTTGCTTGGGCTCTTCCATCTTGTTGCAATGTCCTCCCATATCCATCGACCTCCATCTGGCTACTTCTTACACAGTCTTCAAAGCCCAGCTCAGTTGTCACCTCCTCTGGGAAGCCCCTCATAATCCTCAGACTGGGTTAAATGCCTCCTCAGGGTTCTGACAGCCCCCTGCTTTCCTCATCACGTTGACTGTACTTGTCCATTCAAGTGTCTATTAGATTGTTAGCTCCTGACTTGCAGAAGATAACCCATTTGTCTTTATGCTCCCTGTGCTCAGCCCAGGGCCCCAAACATAAACAGGAGCTCAAGAAACATTTGCTGAACAAGCACCTGACTACACTCACCTTCTTCGGGGTCCTTGAATGTATAGTGGTGCTGTCCACTGCAGGACTTTGCACCTGCTGTGGTTCCCAAAGCCTGGAACACTCACTCCTCTTCCAACATCCCCCTTCCCCACCCCTCATCACTCAGGCAACTCCTACTTTTCATCTGTTTGAAAAATAATGAATGATACCAAGTGCTGCCAGGCACAATGTGACAAAATAAAATGACAGAGTGCCTGTCCTCACATTGCTGAGAAACTAAGGGGGAGATGTACATTAATTTATAATGAAACCATGTCATGGGCTAAGAAGGAAAAACACTGGGAGCTCTGAGATAAAATAAAAGAGAAGACTAAACTGAGTCTTAGAAATCATGAGGACTTCCCTAAGAAAGTGAAGTTCCAGCTGCAGCAAAGGTGACATGTCAGGTACATGTGACCATTCAGAGGCTGGAAGGAGCCTGGGCCACTCACGGAGTTAAAAAGACCATATGACAGTGAAGACAGCAAGGAGCACAGCATGAGATAAGGCTGGAGGTGCCATAATGTGCAGCACCCTTGTGAATCACGTTAAGGATTTGAACCTTACCCTAAGAGCAGTGAAGAGCCAGTGGAGGGTTCTGAGCAGAAAGGAAAGACTAGATCCTCATTTTTAAAAGATCATTCTGGCTGCTAGGTAGACAATGAAGGGTCTAAGAGTAAAAACCAGGGACTGGTGAGGAAGCTCCTCAGTTATCTGGGGAGAGAGACAAGGACAGCCTTGACTGAGGTGGTGGCAGCGGAAATGGAAAAAATAGATATGCAATGTGATCAGGAATAGGACAGCCAGGACCTGGTGACTGATTGATTGAGAGAAAGAGAGGAGAGGGTGAAATATTTTCATTGAATAATTTGTTGGATGGTTAGTTGTTTAATGTCTGTCTCCCTCTCTGAACCATAGGGACAGGGGAAATGTCTCATTTGGTTCCTTGCTATATTTTCAAGCATGCAATAGGCACTCAATTAGTGTTTACTGAATGGGTGGATGGATAGATGTGTGTGTGGCTGGCCAAGCAAGCTGTCCATCTCCAGGACAGCGGGGACCAGCTCACCTCTGGGCATCAGGCTGTGAGATGGCATTGACAATGGCCTCCACACTGCTGTCGAAGAGCTCTGAGTCCTGCAGAGCAGCGAAGGCAGCCTGAATGAGCGCCTCGCAGTCCTGCAGCGGCACCTCCAGCTGCACCCAGCTGGAAAAGCACTTGAGCACCTTCTGACGCACACAGCTGGGTGAGCTGGGCTGCTGCAGCAGCTGCTCCAGCAGCGGGAAGACAGCCCCACACTCCACTGCCAGGCTGGTCCGCACCAGGCTTTTGCGATACTGGGGCAGGCGGCTGGTCTGGAACTCCTCGGGCAGCACTGTCAGTAGCTCCAGCAGGGCCAGGCAGCGGCCCTGGCCATCCACGGGTGAGTCTTCAGCCTGGAAGAGCCGTACCATATCTGCCACAGCACACGGCCAAGCGTCAGGCATCATGCTGAGAGCCAGTGAGGCCAGCGCCACACATAGCCGAGTCAGCACAATCTTGGAGCCACTGGCAAAGCGGGTGATCTGGGTGAAGAGCTGTGCCTTTAGACTCTCATACTGGTCAGTAGGGATGTCACTCCAGTAGCGCGAGATCTTGATGTGCAGGGCACTGGCCCCAAAGTACTGGATCTCAGGCACCTTGTCGGGCTGCAGTAGCTGCCAGCTGAAGTGCCAGGCCTGTGGGGAGACCTGGGCCTGCATCAGCCACTTCTGAGCCAGGTTCTTGTTCTCAATGTTCGGGTCGTAGTAGAGCTGGTGCAGAGCCTGCAGGACAGCACAGGACTGAGCAGGTGCCGGCCACTCTGGATCCTGCCAGAGCCCAGAATAGAGGGCGTGACTTGGTCCTGCAAGACTGCGCTCTCTTTCTGACTGGGGGGCTGAGCAGGAAGGGAGACCTCAGGGCTCTGCAGTGTTTCCCGGGCCTGGGGTCCTGCCAGTATCTTGAGAGCCTGAACTTTGCCCATGTTCTACCATATCCTTTTCTCCTTATAGCAAAACATTATGGGTTCAGAGAGTGAACCTCCAAAAGAAAGCAGAAAAAGAGGCCGAGTTCCCCAAAGGGGAAGCACCTGAGGTAAAGGGCAAGGCTCAGGTGGAAGGAATGGCTCCACAGGGAAGAAGCTAAACCTGAGAAGAGAGTGGAACGGCCTGAGGGGCCCTAACCCTCCCAGGCACAGCTGTTCCCATCTCCTCCAATAGCTCCATTTAGCTCCCCCAGGATCATCCCTAGGTCACTCCTGATGCTGGCACCAAAGCCACTGTGAAATCTGAGCAGGACTAAGACCTGGCCATGCAGCCCTAGGGCAGAGACACACTGGAGAGAAGGGTGAGAACAATCCTCAGAGAGCATATGAGAGGGTCCAAAAAGCTGGTCCAGAGAAGTCTTGGCCTGTAGCCCTGGCAAATGCCTACCCTGGAGCTCTCAACTAACCAAAACCCTAGGGTCCCAACTCCACTGGGACTTCACACAGTAAGAAAACAGTAGTTTATCTCCCTGGTAGCACATGGAACAGTGCACCACCATGCCAACACTGCCCAGCCCCAGGGTAGAAGAGCAAGGCCAGGACTCTCACCCCCTAACCAGGCTCCATTTAAGTAGGCTTAGCCCTATCTGTACCCCTGACAGCCAGTTATGCCACTGTTACTTGTTTGGCCCCCTCAGGGATGCTGAGGCAGCCAGAGAACAGAAGCTGAGAGATGCAGCCTCACCATTTGGAATGGTAAACAGGGCTCAAGAATAACAAATGAATATCTCCATTCCCTGCTTTCCAGCAAGGTAGGCCCATCTTCCCATTCATCCCAGGGGGGGATGCATTTCTGCATTCCAGGCCTCTGGGGGCAGAACTCAGAAAAGAAACAGAGAAACAGTTCAAAAAGATGGACTGGGCAGTGTGGAAGCCTAGGAGTGCCATGGCAGGAAGCCATATGGGCAGGTGAGTAGCTAAGGACCCTGAAGCTGCCAGCAGGACCAGGCCTCTTGGACCTAGCACAAAACAAAGGGGGCCAGCCCTACTCCTGCCTGCCCAGGAGTAGTTTGGCCTCCATCCAACAAAGGAGGGACCCTCTCTAAGAAGGAGGGAAACATAACCCAGATTGCTTTAGTTCCAGGTTATTTTCTGAGTTCCTGGCTCAACAAAACAGGTCCAGGATGGTTCAGCATCACTGTGGTTCCTGGGGACTGAGCTGCAGGTCTCCTGGGTTCCTGGTTTCTTACTGCACTGCTCATGCAGTTCCCCTGGAGCTGGAGAACAGCCAATCTGGCTGGAGGTCTAAACCATCAGCACCCTGAAAGGACCATCCCAAGACCCTAGAGTATCCACAGAGGACCCATGTCTAAAGGAAGGCCAAAAATAGCCTATTAAGACACCATTACACTGCTGTCCTGCCTGCCCAGAGACAGCAAATGCCAGGTGCTCTGGAGGCACCATCCCAGCGGGCACCCAGCCCAGGCCTGGGCTCTGGCATTAGTGTCAGTCCCCAGAACTTCTGCTCTGTCACTGGAGTGCCCACCCCAGGGCCCTCATACCTTCTCCACGTTCTCCACAGTGAAGTCCAAGGCTGGTGCTGCTCCAGCCCCTGCAGCCCCGGGCTGCTCCTCCCGCCGCTCCATCTTTGCTCCCTCCCCAGCAGGGAGGTGGACCGTGACCTGTCTCCTGCCCCAGCCTCTTGGCTGCTGGCTCCCTGCTAGATTCCGGCTTGGGTGTCCAGGGACTGGTGGAGTGACAGGGGGCCCAGGGTGAGCATGGCTGCCGAGGCCTCCCCACCTCCGTTGGGGGTGGGGGGCTTGCCAGAGGGCAAAAGGGTGCTCTGAGGAGGAGACCCACTGAGGGAAATTCCGAGGAGGAAGCCGTCAGTGAGGAGTTGGCAGATGAGGGTCCCGGTGGTAGGTCACGGCTCTGTCCCCAGAATCTATGAGGAGGAAGTCATAGGGCAGGGAGGCCTGGGGGAAACCGAGGCCCTGGCCTGTGAGGGGTCACAGGGTCGACGGCCTGTACCCACAACACCCTCGTCTGAGTGAGCTCTCGGGTCCTAGGAGGAGGTCACGGTGGTGGGGGGTCGCGGGGGAGAGAGAGAGCCCTTCGCAGGTTACGGCGGCGTCCAACGAAGCGCAGGGGTGCAGCTCCGCGAGTCTGGGGCGAAGAGTCCGTAGAGTTGGGGGGCTGTAGCAGGTCCCCTCCGCTCGGCCTGGCCCGCGCTCTCCTCACCGCCCGGCTCCGGCCCCGCTACCGCCGCCTGCCTCCGCCCCAGTGACTGACAGGCGAGCCGGCTCGGC